CCCTGACAGGTGGCTGGTACAACAGAGAAAGTAAACTTTTTTATATAATTTGACTTCAACTAACTTAAACAGGCACATATGGTTAGAGGCACATGAACTGGAGAGGTTTAGCATCCTCATATATTTCATTTGATCCTCCATTACATTCTGAATTAATTGGGAAGGTACCTCAGGCCTGGGGATATGGGCGACTGGAAAGTACAAGAAATTTCCATTTCATCTGCTTATGATTTGAAATTGTGTTTCAAGAATATACAGTATAAGGCAGGCAAGACAGCTCAGATAAAGGTATTTTCTGCCAAGCCTGACAACCTGCATTTGATACCCAGAACCCACATGGTGGAAGGAGAGAATGGACTCCCAAAAGTTTCCTCTGACTCCACCAAGTGCCACGGTACATGCAGGAGTACACACGCCATGAGTGCGTATGCGCGCATGCACGCACGCACGCGCGCACACACACACAAATTTAAAAATTCTGAAGAATATTCAGCAAAGGGGAAAGAAGTGATGGAGAAGGGAAGTGGGATTGGATATGAACAAGTACAATGATTGATGTATGAAAATGTCACAATGAACCCATGTGCACCTACACACATGATCACGGACACACACATAAACAAATAAAACCTCATAGACAGTAAAGGGGATAAAAAAACACATCTTCACAGAAGACTTGAGCAATTACCAGTTTTATTTACAGAGCCCAAAATACTCTGAAAAGTTTTGTCTTCTGCAAGAGAATGTGATTTTTTCTAATAATGAGTTATTGTAGACTGGGGACATAGCTCAGTGGCAGGGCATCTGCTTAACATGTGCAATGCCCTGAGTTCAATCCCCAGCACAACTGAAGATAGAAAGATGAATTAATAAAAGAAACAAACAAAGCAAACAATTATTCAGATTCTAATGAGTAAACTGACAAAGCCAGGAAAGAACCTTCAACTTTACCATACCTAGATATAAACTGTCAATAGTAACAGAATTCCAAAGCAGACTCGGAACAGTATTCACCTAAATAAGTACGTTTGCTAACGGAGAAAAAGTAGTACATAAAGAGACCATGGGCTGGAGCGATGGCTCAGTGGTTAAGAGCACTGGTTCTTGCAGGGGACCCCAGTTCTGTTCCCAGAACCCACATGCTGGCTGTAACTCCAGTTCCTGGGGATCCAATACCCTCTTCTGAGAAGCCACTAAAACCATTGCATGTACAGGGTGCACTTACTCATATACATAAAAAAAATTTTTTTAAAAATAAAAAGAAAAGAGACTGCATACTCTTTCTTCCAAGTCCAACCACTAATGAACTACAATACCTGCTAATGACCATTGTAAAAGTTTACGAGAAATGGAGGAAAGGGGAATAAGATATGGAAGAACAGTAAAGGAATAAAAGAGAATACATGGACACAGAGAGAGAGAGAGAGAGAGAGAGAGAGAGAGAGAGAGACTGAGAGACAGAGAGAGAGACAGAGAGAGACACAGAGAGAGAGAGAGAGAGAGAGAGAGAGAGAGAGAGAGACTGAGAGACAGAGAGAGAGACAGAGAGAGACACAGAGAGACAGAGAGAGAGACACAGAGAGACACAGAGAGACAGAAACAGAGAGACACAGAGAGACAGAGACACAGAGAGATAAGAGACAGAGAGACAGAGACAGAGAGACAGAGACACAGAGAGACAGAGATACACACAGAGACACAGAGACATAGAGAGAGACAGAGATAGAGACACAGAGACAGAGAGACAGAGAGAGAAGCAAATTTATATCTACTTCCACGAGAAAAACCTACCAGCTACTACTCTATAGGCCTTCAAATTCACTTTCTGTCATACATTTCAATATGACATTCAAGTAGGTGTTCATCTCCTAAAGAGTAACAGAGGAAAAGATCATTTCTTAATATCTGATAGAAAATCAGATGATATAACTCCAACTCATTCCAAAAAGTTTATACTGTAAGTATTGTAGAAGCTATCTACAGTCACATACCTATGATAAAATCCTGGTTCCACCTAGTGTTAATCTGAGCAGATTATTTTAACTTCTGATGGCCCTTTAGTTTCGGTCTCTTCACCTATAAAAATGGAGCTGGGGGGATAGTTGTGTAAAGCACTTAGCATTATGCACATAGGAAGCAAACAAATATAATTGGCTTAATTAAGTCCTTACCTTACAAGGAAACTAGTTTAACATAATTTTTTCTTTACTAAGCTAATTGACTGCTCTCCTAAAATTTGGATGCTACACTGAGGAAAGTTATTTATGAATGGAAGAAACTGGTTACTTTAGACCAAAGGTGTACAGACCACACTAACTTTCTAACACTGTATAAAACAAGTTTTTAAACTTTAGAACTTCAACTTCCAATCAACAAACACTATATAACCAAATCAGTAAATAAATACATACTCTAAGATTTACATTAAGCTTGAAAAGCTCCTAAGAAACAATTCTGTGTGTGTGTGTGTGTGTGTGTGCGTGTGTATGTCTGTGTCTGTGTTTCAATGTTTCATTCTGAGGTGTTTCCGGTGGGTTGGTAATGCTTAATTTATATTAAATAGTAATAAACCCATCAATGTGAAAACCCGCTGCACAGGCAAAGCAATGGGCACTGCCTGCTATCCCTAAAAATAAACCTCAAAACCACAAATCAGGAACTAAGTTGGCAGTGTCAGTTCCTTCTATAAGTCCAGGAAGGAATTTAGAAATACTGGTCTGAAGTAGAGATTTCAGTACCACACTGTAATCCCTGCATACCACTCTCCTCAGCCCCCAAATAAGTCATTTGCAGTTTGGGAAAATAACAGTTCCACAAATAAACTGTTTCTGTTGACTTCAACTAGACACTGTCTAAGCAGTGGTTTTTAATCTGGCTGCATGTTATATATGTCTTCCGAGAATTTAGTGAAAGAATGCACATTTGTCCCCAGAAGAAACAGAAACACTCATACAAAACTTTGCACATAATTTTAGGGGTAGTGATAAAGAGAACCCTGAAAAATCACTGAAGCCTAGACTGAGGTCCTAATGCAGGATTGAGGCTAGTCTTAATTCAAGAAAATTAATTTATCATTTTCAAAAAGGATAGGCTAGAGGGCTGGAGAGATGGCTCGGCAGTTAAAAGCACTGGCTGCTCTTGCAGAGGAGTCAGATTCGAATCCCAGCACCCACGTGGCAACTAACAACCATCTATAACTCCAGTTCCAGGGGGTTCTGACACCCTCTTCTGACCTCCATGGGCATTGCATGGCACAGGTGAACGTACATACATGCAGGCAACACACACACACACACATAAAATAAAAATAAAGTATCTTAGGCTGGGCATGGTGGCACATGCTTGGATCCCAGCACTCGAGAGGCAGAGGCAGGAGGATCTCTGTAAGTTTAAGGACAGTCGGGTCTACATAATGAGTTCCAGGCCAGTTGGGGCTACAGGGAGACCCTGTCTCGAAAGAAAAGAAAAGAAAAGAAAAGAAGAGAAGAGAAGAGAAGAGAAGAGAAGAGAAGAGAAGAGAAGGGAAGAGAAAAGAAAAAGAAAAGAAAAGAAAGAAATTAATTAAAAATAAATAGATAAATAAAATATCTTTTAAAAAAGGATGGGCTGGTGAGATGGCTCAGGGGTTAAGAGCACTGCTGTTCTTGAAGAAGACCTGGGTTCTAGTCCCAATACCCACATGGAATCTAACACCCACCAATAACTCCAGTTCCAGGGGATCCGATGCTCTTTTCTGACCTCCCTGGGCCTTGCATGCATGTGGTGCACTTACATACATTGTAGGTAAAACACACATACATATAAATTAATTAATTAAAAATTTAGCTGGGTGTGGTGATGCATACCTTTGATCCCTGCAGATCTCTGTGAGTTTGAGGCCAGCCTGGACTACACATAGAGTTCCAGGCCAGCTGGGGCTACAGGGAGACCTTGTCTCAAAAAACAAACAGAACCAAAGTAGCTGAGGCAGAAACTTTAATCCAGAATATAGGAGTGGAAATATTCTGTTTTCCCAGGTAATGAGTGTTAGACTTTGTGGTTAGGAGTCTTGGTCACATTGAACAGGAACAAAAACCAAAGCAAATAAAGAAAAACTGGACAAAAGCGAGTGTAATTAAAACAGCCCCCAAAATAAGAATCGGCAGTACTTGAAAAGAGCTGCAGTGGACAACCAATTGCTGCAGCCTCCACGGAGGGCTGATCAATGTCATCAATCCAGTGCACCTTTATCAAGAAACCGGGAAACGTTAACACACCCTTGCAGCGGTGAATGCACAGGTGGATGAAAAGTCCTACAATTCCTTTTCTTATCAAATAAAGAACTGAGTAAGTATACTTCAGAGGCAATACAGGAGGAACGAGAAAGCGAAATCCTCAAACAAGAGCTGCAGGGAGTGTAAAGTACAAACTTTTTGAGATCACAGGACTCAAGAGGAAGATAAGAACAAAGCAAAGGAAGCAATAACAGGGGGAAAGTCTACAAAGGAAAAAGAAAAAGAGCTTTCCCTTTCCTAGACACGTAAACAGCAGGAACTTGGCAGAAGAAGGGAGCCGAGCACAGGGCCACGATTTCCTTCTCCAGACTCCAGCATTCCTTGGCCGCCCTCAGCGGCGCACAGGCTGGGGACACTCGGCCGCCAGGGCTCCTCCCCGCACCAGGGTCAGGCCACTTCTGCGAGGGACTGTCGCTCCCTCCCTTCCCCTCGTAGCGGGAGAGAGGAAGTGGGGGGCGCACGCGGGAGGAGGAGGAAGGTGCGACAGCAAAGCTGGAGGCGGCCGAGCCGCACAGAGCCCACCTGGACTCTGAAACCGTCCCCCCCAGAGCCTGCAGGGCCCGGAGGGTGCCGCCCCTGGACTCTGGGACACAGTCAGCGGGACAGAAGGCTGACGTGACACGTACTAGGGATGGATGTGCCTGGGAACCAGTCCAAGGCGGGGAAGCCGGAGGCACAGTGCTGGCCACCTCCAGCCATCCTTCCCGCCCGCGGCTCCGCCCTCACCTGTCGGTCCGCCGGGAGGCGCGCAGCACGGTCGCCGGCCCTCGGGAATCGCCTCGGCCCCGGGCAGAAGCGAGCGGAAGTGCGACCCGGAGCCTCTCCAGCGTCCCCTCCCCCACCCACCTCGGCCGCCCGGGGGCGGGGAGCAGCTGCAGCTGTCACAGGTTCCCACCGACCAACCGCGGAGGACACCAGCAGCCACGACCTCTCCACCCGGCCTCCGGCGCCAGCACCCGGAGCTTCGGAGCCGGAAGTGAGGAGACCGGAAGTAGCGGGGTCCTGGGCCCTGGGACGGCCTCTCTCTCCTGAAACCGAGCTGGACGCCGCCACGTCTCGGTGGTGTGAGCGCGCCTCCCCCGGGACTCCGCTCGCCCCGCCTCCGATCCCGCCCCCACCGCGGCCCTAGCAACCACATCCGGGGCTCCGCGGCGGCCGTTGCCGGGGTAACCTGGCTGTGGCTGGGGCAGGGAGGAGCTTGCCGGGCTCCGGGGGCGGGCGCGGCATCCCTAGCTTGCCGCGCGCGGGGCTCCGGGCATCCCCAGTCCTCTTCCCACGCCTTCCCTGCCCCAGCGTCCGGCGTCCGCCGCAGCCCGGAGGAAGGAGGTGGCCGTAACTCCGCCAAGCCACCGCCGAGGAGCCCAAGCTTAGCCACCCGAGAGCTCGGAGAAGGTTATTCCAGCGGCGCGGGAGGGACGCGGGAGGGATGGAGCGCAAGTGCAGAGAAAGCTGCAGACAGCCGGAGCCTTCCCCCTCGCTTCCCCAGTTGCTGCGCTGCACAGTCCCGCTCCGGCCACCGCGCTCGTGCAGCGTCTTTGCAGAAAGACCGGACCCCAGCGCCCCGCATTCGTGAGCTCGCCATGGTGCTGTTTCTGAGCTCTCCTGCTCGGCTCGCTCTCTGACAGTGGACCCGTAGTACTTTTTTGTTTTGCACATGACCGAGCTCTGCTTTCTTTGCCCCCGTCCCGGTTACTTGAGTAGATCACCACCCTGTCCCCTCTCTCAGAGCTCTTAGTTATTTACTACTACTTGTACTTCGAGAACCTGCAGGAAGGTATTTGCCCTATTCCTTCAGAAAAGTTACTCTCAATGGTGCTTGGCCTAACTGAATTTATTTACCTGCGGTGCGTGCAGTTAGTCCATCCACACAGGTATTGCGTCAAACTGTCAGTTACTTTATCTTTGACAGCGTTGGATGCTGATTTTCATTCTTACTTCGCTTCGCTTGTCGAAAGCATTATCTGACTTTTTTTTTTTTTTTTGGTGGCAGGTTCTCACTATGTTGTCCTGACTGGCCTAGAATTGGCGGTGCAAACCAGGCTGGCCTCAAACTCAGAGTTTGCCTCTGCCTCTCAAGTGCTGGGATCAAAAGGCCTGCGTTACTATGACACTATGCCCTGCTAGCTGACAATTTTTAATGACAAGGTGCACACAGCACATTTCCAAGGAGTTTCAGTATAGTAAAATATTCCTTTACAGATATCTTCACCAGCCTTATGAATAGTAAATACCTGTGACACTACACGTGTTTCAGATGTAACAGTATTGTTTTAGATCTCCAGCAGAAACAGTATTGACATCCCCAAACATAAATCTTGTATAGAGAACACTTCCCTTCCTAATTTTTCTGCTAGGTGCCATCCTCTTTAGTCTTCGCCATTATTAATCTAGTGCTAACTACTGTTCTTATTGTGTAGGAACTGAGTAGTTACAAAACTTTAGCTAAGTGCAAATGTTATTCTCAGGGTCTCTGAAGAGTGACTTGAAAAAGATCTAGTAATGTCCAGCTGTGTTTGAATGGTGTGGTAAAATAAGTGCTTAACAGAGCTGGGCATCTTCATAAGAATTCCTGATGCTGTATGCAGTTTGGGGATATTTAGCATCTTGCTTTGCTTATTTCCCCTTAGCAGGATAGTTTCTTTGGCAACTCCTGAGGGTTTTGATGTTGATTCTAATGAACTTGGAACTGCTTGAAGCTAATGTTAATTTCTCCTTGATGAAGATGCTGTTGGTTGGTTATTCCAAGCATTCATTAGTCCAGTGAGGGTCTGGTACTGTACATGATTAATCCTCATTCACAGTATTATGATAAACAAGGATATAATGGGATTGATGTTTGCATGATTTCTACGGCCCCAAGGGAAATACAAATGTGGACCCACCCTAAGAAAACACTGAAAGCTACTTCAGCTGGTGATGGAAAATTGCAAAAACTTCTGTACATTCTTTGGAATGATGTGAGCAGAAGCTAGTGTTCTTTGGATTTAGGACAATATTTCCTCTTTACCTCTGCCTCTCCCTCTCTCTTTCTCCTTGAGAGTTGAGATTATAGGCGTAAACCACCACATCTGGCTTGAAGGATAACATTTAATGTTATGAAGAAAATTCTATGATTATAATTAGTAAAAATAAAATAGGAAACTATATGTTAACAAATACTGAAACTTATATGCTAGGAGAGGCTCACAGATATTCCTATAATACTCAGTGCTGAATAATTGAACATATTAAGCCTCCAGATAGGTAGGGTGCAAAGTAAAGGTGTACAGTGCAAGTTAGTAGGACTTATTACTTTAAAAAGGCTTGATAGCAGGTACCTGTACAACTTTATTCAGTTATGTTGTAAATTACACTTGATGAGCTTAGTGATATTAAGACTCTAAGCAGGAGAGTCCTTTAATGCTTTTATTGTGAAAACAGGGGAAACATCATATTACTTTAATATTACTTTTCCACTCAAACCTCTGGTTGGCCTTGGCATTCTGAATAAATTCAAATCCCCTACCATAGCATTCAAGGCTTGCCAAGGTCTGTCCCAGGTCTTGCTTTCTGGTATATAAAGTGTATAGTGAAGCAAATCAGCACTCTGTATATCTAGAGAGAGTGCTCATTTAGCTGGCTACTGACCATATCAATTGATCCACAAGGGTGTGATTACATAACTGCTTAGTAGGCTCCACACTGCCCTGTCATTTCCCTCTTCCTTGTTTCACTGTCTAATCTTATCTGCAGGAGTGTTTTCACATCTCTCCTTTCCTATCACATCCCTGTTCACCCTTTATAATTGAGCACAGCTACTGCTTCCATTAGAAACCCATTTTTTTCCAGATATGATGGGACATATTTTTAATACCAGCATTTGGAAGGCAGAGAGAGGTGAGTTCAAGATCAACCTGGTGTACACACGGAGTTTTAGACCAGCCAGGACTACATACTAAGATCCTGTCTCAGAAAAGAAAAAGAAAAAAGAAACCCATTTTTGGTCCTCGCTGTGGGAATTCATTTTTTCCACCTCTTTAATCCCACAGCCCCACAACCCATGATTTAAACCCCAGATTTTGTCTGCCTCTGCTTATCTGTTTCTCCTGATCCTTTTTAAAAAACAGTTTTTTAACCAGAGATGGAATTAGGTTTGTGTGTCAAGCACCTTTACGCACTGAGCAATCTCATTGACCACCCTATGATCCTTTGTGGCAGACTAAACTTGGATTCATTTTATTCTTTTACAACCAGCAGGAAACTACCACTTCTTGGGTCACAGAAATATCTGCTGCACACCAGGAAAATTCCAGAATGCCAGCAACTACTACTATATAGAGTAGTGTATGGGTGCGATTAAGTAGACATAGTATTTGTCTAGTTATGAAAGACAAAAAGTGAATTCTTTCTTCAGTTTGGGAAGTGATTGAGCTTCTACAGAAAGCTGTAAAGTGCTGACAAGAGGAGAACAGGTGCCACCCAGAAACTCTGAACGGGAAGACAGCCTGCCTTGACTCCTAGTTCCCTCTCTCTTCCTCTCCCTCCTCCCCCTCCCCTCCTCTATATACATAGATTTTATATATAT